ATCAGAGGAATTTATCGATAAAACAACACATCTCTTCCCTTTTATACTCTATTTAGTATTTATGGTACTGATACAGATTAAATTCGTTGTGTTAATGATTAAAATTTAAATATTCAAAAGTATCAATTTTCGTCGAACTTTGTCGAAGATATTGAACGCATAATTAACCTGAAATTGAATGTTTAACATTATTTTCTATAAACTATGCAACGCAACGGCAAATAAAATTTTGAGAACAATATTGGAAGCATATGACACATTGATTTTTCGCAATATTCGGATCACTGGGAGCTAGAATCATTTAATTTATCGTTGAATCACCTAATGCATGAATTTTGTGTTTGTAGAAAATTTACGACAAGTACATTGTACAATGTAACATGAACTTATAATCAGAGCTGAATAATATCTACGAAGAAACATTTCAAATACTATCTTAAATAATAGAATTCAAATATAAGAAATGAAATTTCAGCAAATAATATATTTTATTTTGATAATGTAAAACATACATAAAATAAACCGTTTTATTCTGACGATCTGAAACAAAAGAAAATATTTTATTTTGATAATATAAGACAAAATAAAATAATTCTAATCATTTATAAATTAAAATATTATAATTCAAGTAAAACATTAATTGAAATAATGTTTCAAACAACGTTTACGACAAACCAAATATTTTCTTGGCCAAAGTATAATTTCTCGAACAAGAAAAAAATTTTATTTTCCAAAACAGATGCACGCGATGTAAGATAAATAATAAAATATTTATTTATTCCCTACTATTCGAAATAGCATTTTACTCAGCTCTGTTTCCAATATATAACAATTTATTATAAATTCAAGTCAAGTGGAATACGCAATTGAATCTCGATCATTGAATCGCTAATTAATTAAAACTGCAAAAAGTCTCCTCCACATTGTTCGCACTCTGCACGCATCCCAACGTTCGCTTGAAACAAACTGTTAGCGCGCCTAAGCTCGTATAGTTTTTCGGCGACCGACGTTGGCGAGCGTTATCGAAAGAGAGTTCCATGCAAGATCGATCCGAAACCACAATCTTTTTTACGCGGGGTGATTTCTAATGATTTTTTCTACACCGAAATTCCGGACGTGTAACATTCGTGCCGGGCGATGTCTTTAAATAAACACGAGGCGCACTATTTTTGATCACAGCGAGCCTGAAATTCGTTTCGATATTCAGCCTCGAGCGCGGAATATCCCGTGGAGCCCGTTGCACCGTGAACTTGTTTCATCAATCGATCATACGTCATAACTCTATCAAGGGATCGGCGGAACTTATAATCGGATTCGATGAAACGTGTTCGCGGGTCGTGCGTTACGTTTTTCGCCGTGTAATCGGAAAACCGTTTAGTTTTGCCCGACGGATCCCGAGACGAGACGATCGGTATCAACTGCGTGCAAAACTCGAGATTTAGCGATAAGACAGGTTCTAAGTATATCAGATGTTATTTTTTAAGAAACGTAAGAGTTTTCGAACGAAGGGACGACGTTGTAAGCGAAATGGAAAATGCAAAATGCGGGCGGCAACGCCGGTGACAGAACAGTCGCAGCACCGTTCCGCCTGCATTTTCGCCGATTGAACCTGCGAATGTTCGTTGCACCGAAGGAACCTAACATTAGAATGTCCGATTGTAATTAAGTGTATCGTAAGTGTACATGGTGGGGTCAAGTATCGTAGGTAGTCGACGGGAGAAGACGAAGATGATGAAAAAAAAGCAAAGAGTATTACTCTGTTACGGTAGGTTCGGCGGAAGAAAATTATATATTTTACGATATGACTGTCGTACTAAGCGATTGCGAGGAAGAATTAATTAACTGCATCGTACCGTATTGCTAGTCAATCGACACACGTTCGGATGATGGAGCAAGGGAGAAGGGAATAAAAGAGTGAATAGAGAGAGGAGGGAATAGAGAGTGTGATCGAGTAAATGAATTACGTCACAAATATTAAATGATTGTACAAAATTTAATGCCAATAGTTTGTAAGGCCTATCATTTCTCGAAATCGACTTGTGTTTATATCGTACGATGTATCTAGTACTACGCGCCAAATCGCACGGCGCCCAAACTCGTATCTATGCACACGATTCATTCACGTTCCTTTCCCACAGGAGAGGCGGGCTAGAGTTCTCATTGGTTTCGAGATACTCTGAAAGTAGTTTTCTGCAAACCGTCGATCGAAGTGCTTTCCGTTAACCCTGGTCCTCGCTTTTACAGTCACGAACGTAGAACTAAATTTCAAACGCGGACTCGTTCCTCTTTTTTCCAGTTCCTACTTTTTTACAAGGAGACTCGGTATGTTCAAGTAGTTTCTTCCTTCCATTTTTTGTTAACACTTTATCGACTGCGCGGTTCGATTACAGTTTCGCGGATTAACATGCGTCCAGGACGATTTACTTTTTCATGACAAAGGTGGTGTTTGCATGATCTGCTTTTGAAATGTTTCATTGTCGATGTCTTACGATGGCTACAACTGCAACACCAGTGAACGTAAAGTCACGCGAGATCAGAACATAAAAAAGAGAAAAATCTGGATTCGCTACAGCAATTACTTATCCAATTCTTTTGAAACCATGTTGATACTACCAAATGTTGATTAATGAGAAGTGATTTTGAGCAGGCATAGTTGCACACATTTTTAGAAAAGTATACGTTGTTAATGGTCTACTGAATTGTAATAGCGAAATAGAAGAAAGATTACTAGACAAACTTATAAATTGAATTGTAAAGGAACTTGAAAATTCAATAAGATTGACAATGTGGTCAAAGTGACGTAGCAGTTGATTAAAGACATCAATTATTTTTATGTAATTAGTAGGCTGCGAACTTTATGCAACTATGATAAAATTAACTAAGTCAAATATCAAACATTGGAAGAATTTAAGAATATCCTTACATTTTGTTTAACGTATTAAATTTATTAATAAAATAAACGCATTTTTATTTAACATCTGTTTCTTACAATTGATTTACGCAAAGAAATTTTATTTACTTCAAAAGCTTGATACTTTCGTAAGTAAGATTTTACTTGTTGCCGAGTAAACTTTTGACTCGACTCGGGCACAATTAGCTAAAGCAACCGATAAAGTGTTAAGGAACAACAATCACGCAAAAGAGTGATCGCATAATCAAAAGGCTCTCTAAAATGGCAAACTCTAGCTAGCCTCGGTAGGTAGTAGCGGTTGACTTCGGTGTCCATTCCAGTTCTTCGATCTTCGAATTCAAAATCGTCTCCAATTTCAAAAAGACTAAAAAGGACTCACAGGGCTTCACGAAGCTAGCGGCGTAACAGGGGTTGAGCGAGATACGGTGTTTTAAATAAAAAAAAAAGAAAGAAAATGAAGAAGAAGAGATAATTGCAATTTTGGATCGAAGCGTCAAACGGCAAACAAGACCGGAAATATGCTCGATGACACTGTACATTCGTGTAAAGCATAACGGAGCCTTAATGAGAAAGCAATATGCATCCTTAAAAACTGCTTAAAGTATTTTCAAGCTGCTAATTCTATACGAATAATTAATTCCTACACTAAGTAACGTCGTGGTGTCTGAATCCTCGGAAGATCTGCGCTCTGCGACCCGTTTTCGCGAACGAAGGAGCCCGTGTTCCGAGTATTAACGATACAACCCACGGATAGCATGCTCGATCTTCTTATATATGTATCCTATTGTAACGCACAATCTTCTTTGAACTCGAATAATTAATCATACCGATCGATTGTTTCCACTGCCATGTAAACCTTTTAACCGTGCTTGCTTTTACAAGATACAACAAGTTTTCTCGTCCGATGGTTTCACGTTAAGAATTCAATAACATATCGGTCTATTACTATGGTCTGCATTTCACAGTTTGCCAATACGTCAGTTCCTTTCGGTTAAAAGGTAAAAAACAAGTGTTCCGCAACTGTACAAAAAGCAAAGCTGTGTCGCAACGATGAGTTACGTTTGCTACGTTTGAAAAACAATTTTGCGTGGCTCTATCACTCGAGGAATGGATGCTATACCGTGGGCGACAAGGTCTTCGAAGACTTCGTTGTAAATAGACTTCCGAAGCTAGCGTGTAAGAATCATTCATCGCCTATACGATTTTCTCCCACTTATTGAATCTTTACTATAAAGTATATATATAATAACGGCGAGCGTTGTCACGGTTCCAGCGACTTTCTTTCCCTGAACGATTGCTGAGTCGATCGCTAAACGATGACCGATCGAGACTGTAAATAATATGGATGCGAGGCGGGAAAAAGGCCGACAGAAACACGACGCGTTCGAGAAATATTAAATAAATAGTAGCGGCGCTCCGTATTTTGGCGTAAAGAATAAGCAAATAATGTCGACTCGCGAAACCGAACGGGCAGACAGCGGTTTTCGGCGAGTCGTCGGGCCATAACATAGGTCATTAAATATAATATAATAATATTATAGGGATATTCCAGCGTTATTTTGTACATAAACAACTTTATCAACGGATATTAAGAAGTCATCAATAAATCTATATATAAAAAGTATTATTTGTGTAGTTTTCTACCACACGATATCCTGTCGCCGCCGCCGCCGCCATTCTGGTCACGAACAGTATTACCGGGAGATAATAAAAGCATGATTCAATATACATGAATCGGCAAGAAATTTCGTTCGCTGATTATAATTTGTTTACGAAAACAAACTGATTACACGTTAACACGTACGCCGTCGCGTTTATTTGGAATGACTATTTCCGCCGGCTCCCATGTAATGTTCATTAACAGAAATAATAATATGCTAAATAATTAAATCGTATCATTAAAGCGGACGGAACTATGAGTCACGGCGCATTTAATTCACTGTCAGTCACCAGCGACCGAGGCACTGATTTACCCTTGATTATCATTGATAGACACGCCGGTGAAAGCGTCAATACATTTTCATGTTGATACATTGCAGTATTATAGTATATATATATATAGCCATTGGTTTTTGAACAAAAAGGTCCCTCTGATTTAACACATTTATTTCAATAAAATTTTGGTATCAATACATGTAGATAGGGTCGTACAATAGTTTCGTCTTTACATACAAATGACATAGTCATGTATACTGAGGTTGCAGTATAAATAAACATTTTATATAATAAATAAATTTATATATATATATTTATATTGATATATTCTTTATACTATATTCATATAATCCTTTGTCTGTTAGGTTTCAAATAAATTGATTTCTTCACCTCTATATACTAAACAACATAAACGACATAAACGACACAAAACATATATGCAATAACTGGAATGTACGTCCCATAGATTAACGCAATATGTTACTAGGAAAAAATGCCTTTCTTATTTAAAAAACGAATACACACACACAATTTTATCATACAGAATCATATAGTTCGTACGAAAATCTGAAACAATAGTATACATATTGAGAGAAGCTGCGTTCGTTATTTTTGGTTTGCGTAAAAAATTAAGTCAACGGTTCTATTTTTTGCTCAATGCAATACCGAGGCCAAGAATACTTGCAACACCGACAATAACCCCTCCTGCAATGGCCATGCCGTAGAGACCCTCTGTAAAAAAAATACATATAATACCAGTAACAATATATGACATTCATATTTTTTCACTTTGAATATTAAACAGACATTACTATCAAATTACACGCCGCAACCACAATGATTGTTCATAAACAAAGTACGAATCACATATAAAGGCATTAAATGAATTCACTTCGTCACACTATTTTTTATTAAACACAAATACTGTACAAGGGAAAAATGGGAAATATAGTACTGAAGGGATGAAACATTTATTCTCATTCTAATATTTCACCAATAAATATGGATATTAATTTACAATATAAAACACGTAATATATCGTGACGTCTCTTATCATATACAAATTTTTCAACTATCTATCAGAATATTATGGTGTTATATTAATCTCTTTTCTAAAGAGGTTGTTATAAACAGTTATCAAACAAAAATGTAACATGCTCTTACTCTGTATAAACACATAATAAGGTATGTAATTAAATTTCACGAACTACTCGCAGTCTAATCCTAAACTAATTTAGAGATCAAATAAATAACTAAACTACGTTTGCGGCATAAAAGCGTGAATAAATATTTGCGCTGAAGAGTAATACTAAACTAAATAGTTTCAAACGAGTTAACGTCGAATAACCTATCATGATAAATAAATCCTTAAATAAATAAATAAATCCTAAATTCTTATAATTTTGAGGTGCACTACCGAAAATATTCAATTCAGACATCATTATATGCAATATATCGGGATTGTTATCCTTCTCAGACATGCTGGTAAGGTAAGTAGTAATTGATTATTGAACTAAATTTTTGTTAGTGAGGATGAAACATATCCAATCATTTTAACTATATAAAACTATAAAAGATCCTGTCTAGCTTCCATATCTTAAATAAAAGTTTAAAATATATTATAAGTGAGCTTTATATAAACCATCAAAGAGAGTACTTCGCGTAAGTAAGTAATGTATTTGAGTGAACATTTTTTCAATACTATCATTATGATTAATAAGTAGACGATTTTCCACACAAATAGGTACAACTGTCCAAACCAGAATAATTTCCTAAATTTGCAAGATGTATTGCAATTGTTGAAGAAGGTTGCTACTGAACACAGTATATTGTAATTTTAAAGTGTCATTTGTTTTTAATTAATTGACTGCTAATTTTTTAAAAGAAATTTGATGTTTCGGATTAGGTAAAGTCGCAATATATAATAAGTAGGTTGTGTGGTATTGCTAATATAGTTTGAGCTTCTGTGATGCATGAGGTACATTTTATTTTTAACCCTGGTGACTCGGCGATTTAGAAGAGACGCGTTTCCTCTTTAAATTACCTTAAAATTTTTATGTTTAGTTTAAAACGCCGTAGTTTAAGCTGTTATGGTAGTTGTTGATTATATTGAAAGGGAAAAATTGAAAACGCTCCACGTTAAGCTTCGACCGTGTCGACCGCGATAATTATGAGGACGCTGTTAATCACGTGAATCACGCAATGTATCATGATAACCTGCTGTGTGATATATCTTTTAAATATTGCGTCTTATTGTATTTTCGGAACGACTTTCCTGGTTTCAATGGGTTTAAAATTGTTGAAGTACAAGTATATAGTATTTGTACTGGTTTAAGATCACATAAATATATCAAAAAAGATATCATGTAAAATTTATCATAATACTGATGTCTCTTAATTCTAGTTCATAAATATTGCATATTATACAATAACATAGAAAACACGTATCATGTTAAAACATAAGAAAATTAATTAAGCTAGTATTAATTATTCTAAAGTAGAAGGAATGTAATGACTACCAATCCATGAAAATACTAATACGACCAGAAATAATAGGAAGTAAAATGAGTGTCTACTAATGCTACATATTGGACGCAGAAGCAGCGAAGCAAATTGGAGAATGTTTCTTAATTGTCAAAGCCAATAATAAGTTATAAAAACAAAACCTTTTTCCATTTTTTTGTTGATCAATGTCTCCAGATGTTGTACTTGTTTGTTTCCAGGTTCAACTTTTAAAAATGCTCTTACATATGATAAAGCCTTTGTGTATTCCTATAAATATAACAAATAATTAATTAATATTCAATTGTAGATCGAACTCTATATAAGTTATCTAATAACAACTTTTATTCTAGCATTTCCAATGGCTAAATAATAAAGGCAATCTCGTCTCTCTGACTCCGTATGCTTGTTGTAAAGATCTTCCATCAAAATTATTCCTTTTCTAATATCCGCAGGATATTTACTCCTGACAAGACACCATGCATACTCAAACTGTGCCTTTTGTGACACATTTGATGAATGCAATTGTTCATGGTATATACGTTCAAACGTCTGAAAAAAAAATTCGTATATATATATGTATGTAATATATATATATATATATAACATGACTAAGTCATTGCATCACACATCGTGAGCTCTTGTAATTTTAAAATATAACTTATGTATCAAAATAATAGTGTTGAAACAAATTTTATGATTTCATGAAACATAAATGACAATAAATACATTTACAACTTGAAGAATATTAAATTAATCTTACATAACCTCTAAAAGTAGTACGCCTCTTCTAGAATTCAAAAATACAATAGAAAAGATTTACTTTTTGACTTTTTACTAATTTTGATATCATACGGTTGATGTTACTACCTTAAAATATATAAAAAAAACTTAAACAAGCTAATAATAGTATTCATATTCATTTTTCATGAAAATGACTTACCTTCAAGTCGTCTGAAGAAACAACCTCTTCTAAAACGTCCTCCATTTTCTAATATAACTCTACGCGAATTACACAACGTAATAATTTATCTTGTTCTAAATTCTACCTTATACGCAAACAACACATCACAAATCCAACAGCTGCGTTCGAACTAGTCGGACTGTCAAAGCTAAAGAAACAATCAAGTGCTCTGATACATTTCCATTTGTATACAGAAAGCTACCCATTGGTGAAACAGCGCCACACCGCGCCATTATAAGTGCGGTTTAAATGATTTTTAAGCGGCATAAGTATTAAATATCTTTTCTTTTTTTAAATTTATACACTATAACACCAAATGAATGTTATTCATATCAGTTTAATTAATCAGCAAATAATAAAAGGTACGTTTTATTGTTTTTAAATTCTAACCTTTATGTTTATGTACCTATAGGTACATAATCTGTACCAAAGACATTTGTAGTAGTATACAAATATAGATAAGATGAAAATATAATATATTAATCATTTTTTTATTATGTATGTATAGTGTTTAACATTTATAGTATTTAAAAACTACTTTAGATATACAGTAGGTCTAGAAAAAATTCGTACTCCTTTTAAAACAGAACAACTTCTTTATAATTGGACAAGGCGATCTAAACTTTTTGGGA